CACTAACGAGATTAACGAGGAAAGACGTTAAATTTGAGTGGGATGACAAGTGCGAGCAGAGTTTCCAGCAGTTGAAGTATTGTCTCACTCATGCACCTGTTTTGGCGCTCCCGGACGATAGTGGTGATTTCGAGGTCTATAGTGATGCTTCTCTGAATGGTTTGGGTTGTGTGTTGATGCAGCATGGTAGGGTAATTGCTTATGCTTCACAACAACTGAAACATCATAAGTTGAATTACCCTACCCATGACTTAGAGTTAGCCACCATTATTTTTGCGTTGAAGTTGTGGAGACACTACCTTTACGGAGAGAAATGTAAGATCTTTACAGATCATAAGAGTCTTCAGTATCTTTTTACGCAGTGATAGGAGCATATTCATGCGACTTAATTAGCTTGTTCTCGTGCATTTATGTTGTGTTTACTTAGTTGTTTTAGTGTTTAAGGCCACTTTTGTGTATTTTCAGATTATAAGGCCAAAGTGTGCAAGAAGATGCAAATTGGAGTCTTTTGGAGCGAAAGAGGAATGAATGAGTTGAAGACTTGAAGAAACGACGAATTCCTATGCCAACGATGAATTCTTACCAAAACGAAGAATCCTACTCAAACAAGGCTTCCTATTTTAGGAAAGTTGACCCTAAGTTTCCCGTTTTGGTAACCTTTCCTAATTCTAAACGTCCATATTTTCTAGCCACTTTATAGGCCTCGTATGCACTTTAGGACACAAAACCAAGGCCCTAGCCCTATTTCCCTTCCTAGCCGCACCTTTATATTTATGCTTTAATTTCCTATTTTCATAAGCCTTTGATTTAATTTTAAATAAGCTAGGGTTAGTTTTCTAAAACCCTACACATTTTTACTCCCCTAGCCGCACACTATTCTTCATATATTCCACAATTCTTAAAAACCTAGCAACCATCCAAATCCATCCACTTTACCCGTGCATTCCATAACCATATCCCATTTATTCTAACCTAGCCGCAAATCCCATCAACCTCCCATTCCATAATAAGCAAGCCGTGGCCTCCATTTTTTATTATTGACCCTAATAGCCCATTATTTCCACCCTAACCCGTGCATCCATATTCAACCTAATATCCCATATTTCTTGTCTTTTAGCCGCTGCCATTCATGGATTTTAAAGAAAAAAACCATTCAGCCATTTTTTTACTCCCTTAATTTATTCTTAAGCCGTGAATCCCATTCTTTCCCATATTGCAGCCATCTCCCATAATTCTAATCAGCCACATTCTATAATCATTCACCCTAATTCCATATATTCTCTCACAAAGCCGTGACCTCCAGGCCCCTTTAATTCCAAAAACAGCCGCATATTTACAAGGGACCGTGCAGCCATCTTCCACATTTTTTTATCACAGCCGTGCCATCTCCCTGCACCATTCCAGCCGCAGCCTTCCTTCACACTTTCCACCACCATACAAACCTTCACACACCACCCCACAGCCTTGCCGCATCCCTAAACCACCTTAAATCTATCCCTAACCCAGAAAACCATCCAAAAACCACCCATAACCAAACTGTCGCAGCAAGGAGAAGAGGAAAGAGGACTTAGACGCGCAGAAATTCAAGTGGATTCGTTGGGCGTTCTAGGTGTAATCCATCCTTTGTTCTTTATGTTTAAATTCAATTTTATTTTTCTTGTTGTGACCATGAGAGGCTAAATCCCCCTAGTTAGCTAGGGGGTGATTCGAAACCATGTTTATGCTTGCAATATGAATTGATTACTTTTGGTTGGAATTTCATAAGTTGTGGATTCAATTCGTTCATCTATTTGATTGATAACTTATTTGTGTATGTTGATTGAGAGTGCACGCTTAATTTTCATGCATGAATATGATGCTAGATTATGAGGGAGTTTCACCTAATAGTTACAATCTTATAATCACAAGTAGTGAAGGTCGCTTGAAAACGATCGCGTTGAATGAATTCTTAGCATAAGTTTCATGCAATTCATAGTAACGAATGCTTCGTCAATGCTTATGTTTTTCATAGAACTTAATGATTCTTGCTTGTATCTCTATTATGCAATTCATGTAGGGAACTTGTAGGGAATGTTTTGGGTTGTCGTATGCAATCATCCAACTTAATAACTTGTGGAAAAACTGAGGGTTAATTAGTGCAATTCACGGTTAATTTGGGGCGTTGAGTTTCATAATTCATCGAAAGACCAACTGAAAATCAAAGTGTATGCAAGTGTGACATGTGTGGAGAAGAACCTTCTAGCTATCATTCATCCATATTTTCATCACATTCATATTTACATTCTGCCTTTAAATTACAATTTGTGCATTTAGTTTAATTTCGTCAAAACCTCAATCCCCCTTTACCTTAGTGTCTAATTTAGTTAGAAAGTGTCTTAGATTGTGTTTATAAGCGTTTTGTATTCTTTGAGTCTTTTGATTTGTTTTAGTGTTTTATTGTTTAGCTTTGCATTCTTTGAGTCTAGTTTAGTGTTTTTAACGTTTGTTTTACGTTTTTGAGTCAGTTTCCAAGTGATTTAGCAATCCCTCCTAATCCCCGGTCTAGAACGATCCCTACTTGCATCTTTACTACAATTGTCACAAGAGGGTTTTAATTTGTGTGCTTACTTAGTTCGCATCACGCAGAGGGATCTTAATCTTCGTCAGCGGAGGTGGATGGAGCTGCTCAGTGATTATGATTGCACAATTGATTATCACCCTGGTCGTGCAAACGTTGTGGCTGATGCACTTAGCAGGAAGTCTCAGGGTCGTATCAATGCATTGTACGCTAGTCGCATTCCTCTTCTGGCAGACTTAAGAGCTACGACAGTGAGGTTGAGGCAGAAGATCGATAGGTAGCTTTACTTGCTAATTTTCAAGTTAGACCAATTTTAGTTGATCCGGTGCTCGAAGCTCAGGTAGCTAATAGGGAAACTCAAGAACTAATTCAAGCTCGAGATCGAGGGAGGAGGAGAGACCTCAGAGTTCGTGATTCGGATGGCATGCTGATGCAGGAGGGTAGGATGTTTGTGCCTAATAATTTGGACTTAAAGAAAGCAATTCTCGATGAAGCACATATCTCGGCTTATGCTATGCATCCAGGAGCTACTAAAATGTATCATACCATTCGACCGTTTTATTATTGGCCGGGTATGAAGAGAGAGATAGCTGAGTATGTGAGTAGCTGTGCTGTTTGTCAGCAAGTTAAGGTGGAAAGGAAGAAGCCGTTTGGGTTCTTGCAGCCGCTTCCCGTTCCAGAGTGGAAATGGGAAAATATTACTATGGATTTTGTGTACAAGCTTCCACGTACACATAATGGTTTTGATGGCATTTGGGTGATTATTGATCGGCTTACTAAGTTAGCACATTTCATTCCAGTAAGGGAGAAGTATTCTTTGGGCCGATTAGCTGAGTTATGCATCTCAAAGATTGTGAAATACCATGGTGTGCCTGTGAGTATTGTCTCAGATCGTGATCCAAGATTTACATCTAAGTTTTGGGTGGCGTTTTAGGAAGCTTTGGGTACGAGACTACTTTATGGTACGGCGTATCATCCTCAGACAGACGGACAGTCAAAAAGAACTATTCAGACTTTGGAGGATATGTTGCGAGCTTCGGTGTTGCAGTTTGGTGATGCTTGGCACCAGCGGTTGGATTTAATGGAATTTGCCTACAACAACAGCTTTCATTCGAGTATCGGCAATAGGCCCGGAGATTGTTGAGGAGACTACTCAAAATGTTCAGGTAATCAAGTCTAACCTGAAGGACGTGTGAAAGGACAATTTTGCCCCTAGTGTGATTTTTTTACGTTGTGTGGTTGTTTTGAGCTTGGTGGGGCTGGTTGTGGACCACACACATTTCCCCCACACATTTCCCTCATCATTTCCCTACCCTGCACCCTGTCCCGTGCCATTTCCCTTCCCCATTTTCTATCCCATTGTACGGACATACCCCAAAACCCTTGTAAACTTCACAGATCGAAGAAACAAAGTACATATTCTTGCTCGTGAGGTCCGTGGGAGTCCAACCATACCCATTTCAGGTAAAGATACCTTCATTTTCACGTCGAACTCGGGATACCCCGATTTTGTCACTATTCATGCACACGTTAATTCTTGTGTTTTTTGGAATTTCAAGCTTGTAGGAAGCTTGGTGAGGTCCTTAGGAGGCTCGGGGTGGTTCGTTTGAAGGTTTTGGACGTTGGGATCGTGAGTTTCAATGTTGGCGTGAGTTGGTGGAGTTTTCCCGGCGAGATCCTATGTGTTTTAGCACTTGAAAGTGGTATGAATTTGTTCCTCTCATTGTAAGCTTCATTTTGATACCAATTTTGTGAAATTTGGTTGAAAAACGAAGAAGATAGGAGGATTTGAAAATTTCCTAACTGGAGAAGACGACGAAATATTCCATCAAAACTGACGGAATATTCCTAACGGCGTTGACGGAATCTGTTAAAGTTAACGGAATATTCCTGATGGCGTTAACTGACGCCGTCAGCGTGCCAGGCACGTGCCTGCGCGTGAGGGCGCGTGCGACAGTGGAAAATTTTTCTAAAAATATGGGGATGTTCCTGAGGTTGAAATTAATTTGGTTTAAATTAATCTATTATTTGGGTTAGTTTAAATATACATAAAGTTTTTGGCGCCGTTGCCAGGGATTGCCTCTTAATCCCAGCTCGGCTTGTTGATTACACTTTACTTAATTGATTTTATTTTATTTAATTTACTTTTATTTTTACCTTTGTTTTTGTTCTTTATCTTGTTTTTATTTTCATATTAAAAAAAAAATTCGCTAATCGCATAAATCTTTAATTGTCAATTAGACTTTTCCTTGTCTGACTATTAGTGTTTGATTATCATTGTCCGGTAGATACCTTCTTCTTTTGGCTTTTAGTTTTCCCTTACCACCCCGAGTCTTTTAGTCTTCCAATTGGAATTTTGTTTCCACCATAACCCATCAGCAGATTCTCTGCGTTACATCTGAAAGCGTATTACTGAAATCATTCTTTGGTTCTTCATAGGTGAATGGTCGATACTCGTTCCTCAGAAAGTCAGCTTGTGGAATTCGAACCAGAAATTGAACAAAAGCTCAAGCAAATTCGCAAGGAACAAAGGGAACAAAGAGAAGAGAAGGCTAAGGAGAAGAGCGAACAGGAAGAGATGGCTGCAAACGACAATAACGATGGTGCACATCGAACCATTCAAGATTTCTCTATGCCGCAATTTTCTTCTCGACAATCATGCATAGTTTTTTCTGAACTTGATGCTACTTCTTCTTATGAGATTAAAGATTATGTTATTAACATGTTGCCCGAGTTTTCTGGTGATGAGAACCAAGATGCTAGTGAACATGTAGATAACTTTCTGGATATTTGTGGGACACAGAACAACATTAAAGGCGTCTCCGATGAGTTCATTCGCCTAAAGCTTTTCCCTTTCTCTCTCACGGGTGATGCTAGAACCTGGTTCAAGACTCTGCCAGCGAGATCAATTACCTCTTGGACTCAACTTTCTAGTAAGTTCATTCAAAAGTTTTACACTCAGTCTAGAACTCAGAGGTTGAGGGATCACATATTTCACTTTAGGCAGAACAAGGGAGAACCACCTTTTCAAGCATGGCAGAGATTTAAAGCTTTGATAATTAGTTGTCCACACCATCAATTTTTACCATGTCAACTAATTTTATACTTCTACCAACACTTAAGTGATGAATGTCGACATAGATTGGATGCTGCCGCTGATGGTAATATACTGGGTAAAGAACCAGAGCAAGCTACTACTATCATTGAGAATGTTGTTGCAAATTCATCTCAATGGGATAGTAGAGGGTTAACCCGAAACTCTGCATATGAAGTAAGTTCATCGAATGAGGTGGCTGCACTATCAAGGAAATTAGATGCAATGGTGACTTTGTTATCCAAGAATGCAGAACCGTGTGGGATTTGTGCTACTCAGACCCATCCTACTCATCTTTGTCCTCAAAGTGGTACTTGTCCAGAAGTTGAAGAGGTTAATTAAGTCAACGCGTTTAACCGTCAAAGAAACGACCCCTTCTCAAATACTTATAATCCAGGGTGGAGAGAGCATCCTAATTTAGCTTGGAAGAATAATTTTAACCAAGGATCCAAGCCATGGCAACAAGGAGCCGCACCTATAGACACCAAGAAACCTTCTTGGGAAGAATCGCTCAGATGGTTCAAGTTAATTCTCAAGTTTTGCAAGCTCTCCAATAAGGGCAACAGGCTCTCCAACAAGGGCTGCAAGTAAATAGTCAAGCCATCGGCAAATTGGAAGCAAAAGTCGGTCAAATCGATGCGGCAATGAGTGAAAGAGAACCGGGGCGTTTTCCAAGCCAAACTGATGCTAATCCAAAAGGCAAGGAGCAAGTTAATGCCATTAGAACATTGAGGAGTGGCAAACTATATGATAGAAGGGAAGAAGTCGTAGAACCAAAGGACCAAGAAGAGAATGCCAACGAAGCAGTTCCACTACCTTCTTCACCACTCGCTGCTCCTACTCCTGCTCCAAAGTTGAAGAATTATGATCCTCCTATGCCTTTCCCGCAGAGATTTCAGAGGCAGAGAAAGGACAAGCATATGTTAGATATATCGGAGAAATTTAAAAAGGTTCAAATCAACATTCCATTACTCGATGCTATAGCACAAATTCCATCGTACACAAAGTTTTTGAAGGGTCTCTGCATAAACAAGAGGAAATTTACAGACCATGAGAAGATTGAGCTTACAAATTGTTGCAGTGAGGTTTTGACCACAAAGATGCCTCCAAAATTACAAGATCTGAGGAGTTTCACTATCCCATGTGTTATTGGTGATTTTAAATTTAATAAAGCTTTCTTAGACCTTGGTTCCAGTGTTAATCTCATGCCATTTTCTATTTATTAGCAGCTAGGTATTGGAGAGCTACAAAGAACATCCGTCTCTTTGCAATTGGCTGATCGATCAGTGACTTATCCCAAGGGCCTTGTTGAGGACGTTTTGATCAAAGTAGACCAATTCATCTTTCCAGCAGATTTCCTTGTGCTTGACATGAAGGAAGACCAAAACATTCCTATTTTACTTGGTCATCCTTTCCTTGCAACCGTTGAAGCTTTAATTGATGTCAAAGAAGGCACACTCAAGCTGCGAGTTCAAGGAGAATCCATAGAATTCAAGATGTTTGAAGCACTTAAGTTACCAGTCGACGTAGAAAAGTGCAGCAACATCGAGCTTATTGCTGCCATTGTTAATGCCAACTTCTTGGAGAATGTCTCTACAAATTTGTTGAAGACATGCAGTGAATATCCAGAGTTAAATATGGAAGGAGAGGCAGCCATGGACATAATTGCAGCCCTCAATTCGTCCCTCATTCATTCACCAAAGTGGAGGCAAGCATGGGAGCCTCTAGGACGAGCATCACCTCATTGTCTTGTGTCGACACCACATTTCAAAGCCACAAGGCGGAAGAAAGGGAAAACAAAGAAGATGCATGGAGTGGTTCCTCATTTGAATGATCCGCCATCCTCATGTTAATTTCAGCATAGTCTAGCTCATGACTATAAAGAAGCGTTTCTTGGGAGGCAACCCAAGCTTTCTAAACTTTTCTTTTATTTTCGTAATTTTTCATTTTAGTTTCTTATTGTTTGAGTAAGTTTTAATTCCGTTCATGCTCTCAGGCACGGTTGTCTGCAATGATCCAGTTTGGGGGACGTCCAGCATGCGCAGTTTGGGGAGGAGTACGTTACAAGGCATGACGTCTCACGGTCAACATTGCTCATGCATGTTCGATTGAAAAATCCCGGGAAGTTTTCATACCCTATCTTTCAGTGTGTTTCTTTCAGTGTGTTATTCATTCTGTTTTCTTTGTTTTACATATTGAGGATAATGTTTGATTCAAGTTTTTGGGGGGGGGTTGTTCTCGATCTCTGTTTCTGTGTTCCGTTTTTGTTTAGTGTTCATCATGTCTATGTTTGCGTAAAACTGTATTAACTGGGAAGGAATTTGAACATTTGTCCGCTTTGAGTTCTTCAGTTTTTTGTCTTCTTTCCATCCATATAAAGATTTTGAAAATCGGATTTTTCTTTCAAAAGTTATGATCAAATCTCTGTTTGAAGGTCGAAACTGCCTGTGGTACTGTCATATTGCAACTTGCTGTTTGTAATTTCTGTTGGCATATGTTTCTTTGTGTTTATTTGTTCTATTTTCCGTTCTTATATTTAAGTCTTAATGTCATAAAAAAACAATTCATAAAAAAAATTGTCAAAAAAAAAAAAGATTTTATTTTTCTTGGGTCGTTTTGTTAGACCTTCCATAAGTCAATGATAATAAGTTGCTTTCTTCTAGGTCACAAACTTATTTGAATTTGTTCTTTTTTATGTGAAAATTTAACTGTTTTATATGGTTAATCTGATTCTTACATGATCATTCTCAAGTTTATTTTATACCAATAACCAATGTCAATATGATTAGCTTCTAACTTAGAGAATTATATGTGGATTTTAAGTGAAAACTTATTGAACCCTTGTGAGATTTTGAGCCTCTTGCATATTCTTTCTTGTGAGTTTCACAATTACATTATCATTCACTAGAACTTACTTCAATATCTCTCGAGGCGAAATCCTAAGTCATGCAACACTAGGGAGATGATTAAGGCCATGTTTGGATCGTTTGAGCCGTTCTAACCAACCTTTTATGTTATATTAGAAGTTATGAAATAAAAGCTTGAAATTGTTCCATTCCTACATCATGAGTCCTGGATGCCAATAATAGAAGATCCAAGTTTTAAAGAGGACCAACCGAGGTACATAACGAAGATATCTTGGTATTTCTTGAGTTTTAGTTCTTCCCTATCCTTTCTTTGATAGCTCATACCCTAGCCTAATGTTACAACTCTTGTAAAGACCTTTGACCTTTGGTGTTGCATTGACTTACATTAGTGGAAAGTTGATATGAAGAGTAAGCTTATGGGGTTGTATATTGCTGATCATGATTTGAGTGAAGCACTTTGCCCTTTAATGTGTGATTTCTTTGTGAGTGATACTCATGGTAAAGGATTTGAAGTGGAAACTTTGGTTTGCATATACCTATCCGGGTTGAGTAAGTTGTGTTGATATTGATTATTTCACTCATTACGCTTGAGAATGTTGTGTAAGGCTTGGTTAATTTGATTTTGAAAAATGTTTAAATTCTCTTAAGTTTGGTGACCGTCTCTAGATTGCTTTGAGGCGAATGTATGGAAGGTCTATTGTTTTTCTTGTCTTTTATTTTTGTTTTGCTCGAGGATTAGCAAAAGTGTAGTTTAGGGGTATTTGATAGGTGCATTATTTATCATGTTTTCATATCATTTATCCCTAAGTTTTGTTAAGGAATTAGTCTTAAAAGAGCCTGATTACTCCCCTTTTCTCTGTTTCAGCCAATCAGCGCACTTAGAACGTTTTTGGCGATAATTCAACTTTCCAGAGGAGTTTTGATGCAAGGCTAAGTGGAGAAGGAAGCTAAGAGGTGGAAGATCTTTGTGTCCGAATTTCGTAATTTTTCATGGAGCCAAACTTTCCAGTTTTACTAATCAATCTCGCAGAAGTAACTTTCCCGTCAGATCTGCGCAGCTGGAGGAGAATGAAGATTTGGAGGCTTTCCCGATTTTTCCTAGAGGCGTGCAATATATGCGTGGAAAAATAAGAGATAAAGCCACATTTTTCATATTTTTACAGAATTTTTCAGAAGATAGTCGACCCCAAATCTGGCGTGCAAGACAGATGCCGTGTTTCCCAAGTCAAGAAGGACTCTTTCCTAGTTTGTGTCATTAATTATTTAGGAGTTTGTTTTCTTTTAGGATAGTTTTTATCAGAATTTTTAGGATTTTATTAGAATAAATTGAGTGGCATAGGCTATCTTAAAGGGGGAACGAAATACACAAGAAATTCGTCAAAAGTGAAAGAGGACAATTTAGCATGCTTTTGCCATTCTTTTCCGGGTTTCATCTTCCATGACTTCTTTTGTGATTTTTATTATGATTATGTGTAACTAAAATACTTTTCTAAGATTTATGATGAAGCCATGACATGATTATTTTCGAAGTATCTTGTTGATTATTATTCGACTACATGCCATGTTTAGTTCTTAATCTTTGTGTTTAATCTATTCTAGTTTCGAATGTTCTTGTGACTGCCATCATTGTGGACTTGTTTCTAGATATTTAGATAAATCTGAGAGGATAATGATAGGAGCATATTTAGGCGACTTACTTAGCTTGTTTTCGTGCATCTATGTTGTTAATTCATAGTTGTTTTAGTAGTTTAAGCCATTTTCGTGTGTTTTTAGGTTCATATGGCTAAGGAAGCAAAAAGATGCATTTTGGAGCAAAATTGGGCTTGGAATGGATAGCATATGATTGGAGCCAAAGTGTTGGACGAATTTGAAGGCCTTGTATTCATTTTGGACATAAAACAAAGGGCCTAGCCCATTCTCTCTTAAACCAACCCCAAGGCCATGCATTTCCTTCCAATTCCAAAGCCCACAATCACTTCAAAAGCCATGCAAAGAACCATCCATTCCATAAAAAACAATCCATCAATTCACATGCAAAACCACCATTAACACACATGCACCCAAACAAAGCCAACCTAGCTAACCCTACATGCATTCTTTATGCAACTCTTCATCATTCCACCATTCATTCTTTATTCCACAAACAAGTCACATGCATTTCCACCTTCCTACTTCATCATTTCACCACATTCTCCCTCTTTAACTCATTTCATTATTCATTCACTTTGCATTCATTCAATTCCACCCCACATGCACCCTTTATTCTTCATCATTGCAACCATGGCACATTTACACCAACAAAAACAACTCCCATGCCATGGCCTACTCATATTCCCATTTCCTTTCCAACATCTCACATGCATTTCCACCTTCCTACTTCATCATTTCACCACATTTTCCCTTTTATTTCCACATGCAATTCTTCATCATTGCAACCACAAACACCTTAAACAAATAGCCATATACATCTCCACTCCTCCTATAAATACCCTTGCATTCATTCATTCAAAAATCATCTCATTCACAACACAACACACCACAAACACTTCCCTAGCCGTGAGTTTTTCTCCCTTAGAATCCAAAAAACCATCTTCCATTTCCACCAATCCTCATCCATTTCCATAATTCCCCAACACTTCCATCCCCCCAACCAACCTATCCTTAAACCTTGTGCTACAACAACGAGGAAGAGAAGAGTGCCTAAACGTTCATACAATTCAAGTTTTGAGTTGTTGGAATGTTTAGGTGTTTCTTTGATTTCAAAGTTTCATTTTAATTCTCTTTGTTTTGTACGTATGAGAAATGGAAGAAAATAGTGCTTAAACGTTCATACAATTCAAGTTTTGAGTTGTTGGAATGTTTAGGTGTTTCTTTGATTTCAAAGTTATGAGGAACTAAACCCCCCTTAGCTAGGGGGTGATTCGAAATATATGTTTATGCTTGCAATATGATTTGAGTACTTTTAATTACGTTTCATAAGTTGTGAATTCAATTTGTTTAACCGTTTGATTGATAACTTATTTATGAATGTTTATTAAGAATGCGCGCTTAATTTTCATGCATAAATATGACGCTAGAATATAAGTGAATTTCACCTAATCGTTATGAACTTATATTCACAAGTAGTGGAGGTTGCTTATAAACAATCGTGTTAAACATATTCTTGGCATAAGTTTCATGCAATCATAGTAACGAATGCCTCGTCAACACTTATAGTTTTCATGTTGCTTAATGATTCTTGCTTGTATCTCTATTATGCAATTCATGTAGGGAACTTGTAAGGAATGCTTTGGATTGTCGTATGCAATCATCCAATTCATTAACTTAAGGAAAACTTGACGGTTAATTTAAGCGGACCTAATTAACCCGGGGCGTTGAAAATTCATGGTTTATTGAAAAGCAATTAGACATCGTTTTGTATGCAAGTATAACATATGTGGAGATGAACCCCTTAGCTAGCTTCCCATCCATTCATTTCCGTCAAATCCGTATTTACAATTTGTTTTCTTTGCACTCTATCCATTTTAGTTTAATCTCGTCCAAACCTAAATTCCCCCCCCCCATATTTTGTTTAAGTCTTAGTCTTTCTTACTTTTAGTTTTGCATTCTTCGCATTAATTAGTGTTTTAAACTCGTTTTTACGTTTTTGAAGTCAAATCCAAGAGGTTAATAATCCCTCCTAATCCCCGGTCCAGAACGATCCCTACTTACGTACTTACTACAATTGATAAAAAGAGGGTTTAATTTGTGTGCGTATAATTCTCGCATCAGATAACCAATATCAATTAGGTTTATTGGAACTAAGATGAAGAATAGTGGACAAACTAGTGAGGATGACCAATATCAAACTAGTCTTACTTGGTTGACATTATTCTTCCATGCTTAATGGGTTTTTATGTGTTTAACTGTATGCCTAACCAATAGGATATAGTTATCACGTATAGACACACGAGTTCATGCCTGACCAAGGATTAATTCTTATCTTA